AGAATTGGATTACTCGACGAGGTCACCCTTTTGGGGTACTGTTATAGCTATGGGGTCTTACGAGTTGTAAATTCATGGTGTATTAATGGTTATCGTTAAAAACCATCATCTAATTATGATATGGTTGTAAATTGAGTACAACAATAAAATGAATATTAAGTTTATGCCTGAGGTCTTTATTATTATTTTTTCTAAGATTTATAAGGTATTTTCGTAGATATACATTTGCTCATCAATTTCAGTTGTGATTTATAGGTCGAACAATAGTCTGAACTCATGTTTAGATTTCTTTCTACAAATACTTGCTATTTTAGGATTCATCATCATCATATCAGCCATAGGACGTCCACTGCTGAACATAGGCCTCCCTCAATGACTTTCAGATAGGCCGGTTGGAAGCCACCAGCATCCAGCGGCTCCTTGCGACATTAATCAGGTCGTCTGTCCACCTTGAGTGGCCTCTACTCGAGAATCTTTCTCTGCTTCCAGCGTCCGTCTCGGTTCTCCGCGCTGTGTGCCCTGCCCACTGCCACTTCAACTTGCTAATCCGCTGGGCTATGTCGGCGACCTTTGTTCGTTTGTGGATTTCCCGATTACGAAGATAAAATTATAATTTGCATATAAACAATAAACTCTCATATTTATTGACGACATAGTTAATTTATTCCACCTTCCTTTATATTAAAGATCAGTAATGAAACACTTAATTAAATCGAAAAATTATTTATGAGTTTTAATTAAGGCGATGAAACTGTAAGGAAAATCATACAATTACATTATAAGGAATTGCGAAACATTTTATTATTATTGTTTAAACAATGTTCCTGAATAATAAAAGAGAATATGTAGTTTCTTTGTCGGATTAATTAATTAGTTATATTGAGTTAGTTTTACTTGTGTCTGTTTATTTGATTTTATGGAAAGGTTAGTCAAGTGTTTTAGAAATCGAGTGGAGATTGATTATAATAATATAGTTTTATTTTTCTTACTCTGATGTAGGGAATTTAAACGGCCACGAAATTTGTGTTCGATAAAAAGTGATTGTATTATACTTTAATTTACTTATGACTTCACCCGCGTACCCGTGGAATAAAAGTAACCTATTTGTTATTCCAGACCATAATGTACCCCACAATGTTAATGTGTAACATATAACACACACATACATTCTCACTAACTTTCACATTTATAATATAGGATTAGGAGTCAAGAAGTATGATTGTAATCTAAAGCTTGTACTAGCATTAAACAGTATAGAAAATGTTTCTTTCCTTTTCTTACGTACAGTACCAAAGTAGTACAAACGTATTTGAATTACTTCTCACGCGTAGTATTGACCTCCATAAACGTCTTTGATGGACTTGTAACAAAATGAGGTTAAAAGGAAATAAGTACTCTCATGTTTGCCATACAATATGCTCATGATTATACGCATCACATGTCAGTCAACATGACAAAAGGGTTCAGAACTAACGCCTTACTTTTATGCCCCTTTTCTCAACACATAAATGCTTACTACCATTTTACCACATTTTTCGCACGAACTTCACCCTTATGTACATACATCGAGATGTATTCATATGGCATAAACTACGCATTGACGACCAGAAAACACTGAACTCTATTACAATACTCCAAAGTTTGCTACACAGCTCAAGTTAAGCTGGACGTCAAAGCTTTCAGGGAAAGGTAGAGACGACCCATTTTTCTCGGTCGTTTTAGGGCCGCCCCTAAAGATTAGTAATACTAGGACGGTCCTTAGAAATATATTCATATGGATACGAGGATATGAATGTCGAGATCGGTTTTGTTCGGATATTTGGTTCAATAAAATACTTATTTATAGAAATGCGATTACTTTTGTAGAATTCCCTTGTAACAATGATGATTTGTTTTCGTAAGATGACTTTCAGATTCTGTACTTTTGTTATCGCATTCGATATTTAAAAGGAATTTCCCATCCGATGGCGACGAATTAATTAAGCTGATTTGATCGGAGGACAATAACGACGATTGTCCCAAATGAAATTGGATTGGAAAACAACAGTGTTTAAATTTATATTGTGGATGTTGGAACATTTTGTGATAATATGAAGTTTGAAATACTGAGCTTCTTCAAAATGCTTTATTATTTTAACCATATGTCGGTGTTGTAATGAAAATAGTAGAAATTTTGGCCTTTTGGTACTTAAAAAAATAGTATCTATAAGTCTTAGTATTATTGGTATTTCTTATTGTTAATACTTAAGTTATCTAGCAAACTATTATAATTAAATAAAATGTGATGACCTAGTGTAGGTAGTAGAAGATGAATATTTTTAAACAGAGATTGAAAACAAATAGTCTCGCAGTCTCACAGCCTCTAAGTGGCCACTGTTGACTAAAGGCCTCTTCTCACACGGATAAGGTTTGAGTATTAATGATCACGCTTGCAGGTTAGTGATATCAAACTTATAATTAGTAGATAATTATAAGCCCAGACCCCATTTGCCCACTCCTCAATCTCCCCAATCCATGAACCCCAACAATCCTCAAACTCATAAGTAACGCCTCTGGTATTCCAGGTGTCTATGGGCGGCGCTGATTGCTTACCATCAGGTGATCTTTTTGCTCGTTTACCGGCTTCTCCTATTAGCCTTTTTCCTGGGAAGATTAAAAAAAAATCCGCTAGGGGCAGCACCGGTGGGGGGGTACATATGTTTTGAATTCTCTATTGACAACAACGTCAAACGTGTAGAATTAAAATGGAATTAACTGAAGATGATGTACCTTTTTTTAATTTATCAATTGTTAAATCTGTCCTTCGTGATAAGTGTATCCACTCCAAACACTTTTTTTTGTTAACTTGTGGTTTTATTAATGGCATAAATTTTACACCATCTTGCTTGTACCGACTATCAGACGTACAATTTGCGAATGCGCAATGTTTTGTAGGCATGACTATTTTTTTAAAAAAAAATTTTATCACAATATTTATTTATTCTGATAATAATAAGACGTACGTTTGACGTTGTTGTCAATAGAGAATTCAAAACATATGTACCCCCCCACCGGTGCTGCCCCTAGCGGATTTTTTTTTAATCTTCCTAGGAAAAAGGCTAATTAAAGAATTTTCCTCACGATATTTTCCTTTACCTTTAGTCTGTTGTGGCTAAATTATCTTAGTTAACAAATATATACAAATAATCTATCTAATATTACTTTATTATTAATATCAATAGAATTATAATAATCTATTGTCTATATTAACTGTCTAGCTGTTACCCGCGACTTCGTATTATAAGAATTTTAGGACAATTTCTTTTTGTTTTAATTTTCTAAAATAACAGTAGCCTGTATACACATAGTATAGCTAATGCTGCCTGTCAATAAAAGTCCCGTTAAAATCGGTCCAGCTATTCCACAGATTAGCCAGTACAAACAGACAGACAAATATTACTTATGGTTATTTAAATATTACACACAGATACTCAATTTTTTTTAACTATATAGATAACTAACCATCACATACATTGTGACTTGTTTAATGATAAGTATAAGGCTGTAATGTCTGTTTGCCTGGTGTATTGTGAGCAGAACCACATATAAAAATGTTATTTTATCTCGGTTTTCATATTCTGTGTACGTAAATTGTTATTATTACTGTTATTTCATTTTAATTCTAAGTTGTATTGTATGTTGTTTCGTGTATTATGTACTTTGATTTAGTTTTCTTTTTTTATATTTTTTGTAATTATTAAATTTGATTAATGTAATTGGTGTCTACCGTGTTAATCAATAAACAAAATAAATAAAAATACATATTTAGCTAACGGCAGACCAATTTTAAAAATTGAAATCGAACCACATTTTCAATTCCCATTACCTCAAACCTGAACTTACCTTCCGTCTTCAAAATGTTATATTAATTAAGATGGTGCAGTGACTTTGCTTCTATCACCGCATTTCTGATATTGACTGAACTCTATAATAGTTGAAGCGCACTTTGAAGCCAGTGGAAACTTAAGAACCTTTAAGGATCTCATTTATTAATTGATAGAGCTTCTTGCTAGCTAGTACATTTGCTAAGATATTTGGAAACGGAAGATATTCACACTTAATAAGCACCGCTCTGGCATGGCACCGACATGGTTTTTGCGGTGTTGAAACATATTAAAAAAAAATCGAAGGGAATCGAACCTGATAGCTCTTGCTAGGTTGCCGCCGTTACGATCACTTTGACCAGCGAGGCATCGGATTACCTTCACTTGACCAGCGATTTTTAGTAAATAGTTTAATATCTTAATTAGGTTTATTGTGTGCGTAACATAGAACCATATTTCGGTTTTCTTATATAACGATGTATAAAAATACAATTACTATTCTTTATACCATAAATCGTTATCTAACATCCCCGTCATAAATTATAATGAATTTAATATTATCTTTTTTGAACACCAGTGTTTTATCACAACATAAAACTGAGCTACTGAGCCTTAAGAAACTGGGTAAAATAAATAAAAAAAAACATTGTTTCATATGTTTTTAATCTCATTTACTTACACTGATTCATTATCATTATATACAAAAATGTCAATTATCACAATCAAATTAGCGACGAAGATCACAATAAACAATTTCTAATTACACTCAATAATGATTTATAATCTTCTTTTACTTTTTATATAAATTAAAGCGTTTGATAATGTATTTTACAATAATCAAGAAACAATGGTTTCAGGTGAAACAAATGATACTTAGGTGGGGCGTACCTAAGTTTCCCAATTAATCTTGTCACTTTGAAAATAAAATGATTTAGGAAAACGACTGTTGTGATTAATTAGAACTTTGTGATAAATATTATTAATCAAACTTATATTTTATCTTTAAGAAATAAACACGATTATTTATGTACCTATTTTATTATGTAACTGTTTGATCTTTGTTTTATGAATGTAGGAATGAACTGAACACTGATTCTACTAGACAAAAGGTTGTTTGAAAACCACGGAAGCTTAATATTACGATTTTAGTAAAATCAAAATTGCGTAAAGTAAGATGGCCGCCGAATTTTGAGCAGCGCGCGACGCTAGCGCCGACGCAGGGTTGCGGACACACGCGCGAAACTCGTGGTAGTCTGCGCGCGTTATTGCACAGAAGTGGACGTGCACACATGCTGAATCACATTCTGCGACGTCTGCCGCATGCCGTACGCGCAGTGCTGTTAAATACCTGAACAATTAAGAAAATTATTTAATAACAGAATATTGACATCTTACGGTAGTTTGTATAAAAAAACTAATGATTTCTATAACATCATGCCTTTTATCCCCGAAGGGGTAGGCAGAGGTGCACATTATGCTACTGTACAATGTAACACCCATTTTACACTATTTATGTTATGAGTCCCATGTAATAAGGGGTTAGCCTATAGCCATATATCTGGCACAATTCCAGACTCCGTGCAACTACTGAGATTTTTTTAAAAACCCAGTAGTACATTACTCGACCCGCGAATCGAACCCGGGACCTCTTGCCCGGCAGTCGCACTTGCAACCACTCGGCCAACGAGGCAGTCTAATGATTTCCACGAAATGGAAGGCTAATATTCAGTTTGAAAGGGGTGTTTTCATTAATTTTCTTGGTCGAACGTAAAGATACTCACTTAGCAAATACTCCACGGTCATGATGGTTCCGTATCTTCTCAGCCAGGGCATCCAAGGACGCCGGGCTAATTTCTCTCAGTCCATAGTATTGGGTTAGGTTGTATTCTATCGCCCAGTGGGCTTCCCCTCTTATATTATTTACATCTAAGTAATACTGAGTATAATCCAAGACCTGTACAAAGACATATAAATGATTAAATATTTGTTTGTGAAAGCGATCGTATTATTGATTCCAAATTATTATTTGGTTATATTTGTGTTTATCTTAATAAATGAGATATAAATGAATACAAAATTTTGCATATAGTGAAAATGGAAAAAGTCCTATTGAGAATATTGTTAATTATTACCCTGTTAATTATTCGATACTTTCATTGAAATACATAATAATTAATAGATAAGCTTCCTGAAATCCAAGAATTTCAAGCACATTTAATATTAAACAAAATTCCTAGAAATACTCGTAGTTACGTAATGAGAAAACTTGTAAATTTTCTATAGTTATGCTTTCAATTGGAAAAGTTGTAGATGAACATTGAACCTTACCTTTCCGGTATTAGAGTCGAATTTATAAAGTCTTAATCCTGGGTTTGAGGTGCTACCAGCGCCTCTGGGTGTGACCGAAGGGGCCAATAAAGCCCAGGATACTGGTCGACCTAAGAACAAAAGAAATGTATTTAATGGCTATAAATGTTATTCTTTTTGAACATTCTTAACTTCTTAATATTATGTACTACTGAATTTTGCTCGATCTTGATAGAAGACCTTTTGAAAGATGAACTCTTCAGGTACACTACAGTGAAAAAGGTTTTTTTAACAATTTAATCTTAACGAGTGTACTAATTAATATATTTGGTTGAATTAATTTCTTATGTATAAAATAATTCTTCTTTTTTACTGCACGTCTGTTTTGTTGATCTGATATACATAAGGATACCTTTGCGACGAATATTTATTTCTAAATCAACTAAGAAAAAGTTTATAAACATTTTTACTCGATTAACATTTCAGTACAATACTCTATTTTAAAAAGCCACTAGTCCACAGTACTTTATTCTCGAAAATACAATTCTCCAACAGCTATCGATTACTACGACCTAATGTTTTGTTCAAGAGACGTATAATCTTACAACTACGGAAGCATGGTCGCGGTTCGCTTCGTAACAAAGAGCTCAAAAATTGATGCCCCAGTTTCTCGTTCTAAGAAAAAGGCTATGAAAAGCGTCTAGAAGATAGGAAATGTATAAATAACAATATTTTTTGTGACACAAAAGAAGACTTAGTTGTCATTTGAATAGTGTTTGCTTTTCCTTGAAGAAGTAGGTAGAATTACGCTTACAGAACACCCACTTTTGGTCTATTATGCCATTTGTTTTACAAAGAGGTCGTGCATATTACACAATCACACACCCACATTTCTCTAGTTAAGTTATGAACCTCAAATAAAGGTAACCTTTAAACGACGCACAATCTGAACTACGTAATACTAGATAAATTTTGGAAGAGTACTTTTAAAAAAACGGGTACTGGGTACTTTAACTCGATGGGAATGGAATCCGTGATTAAATAGTCTGGCTTCCGATTACTCGAACAACAAGTTCATATGAATTTTAAAAGGCACCATATTATAAAAAAGTTATTCTGTTCTAAAATACCAATCTTAAGGTCTTCTTTCGTAATAAAAGTCAACGTACCTTCACTATAAATAAGTCTGAAAGTGTCAGCATGACGGTGTCCATAGAACTGTCCAGCAATCACATCGCTGAACGCTCGGATGACGTGCACCAACCTCGCATTGGCTGTAGGAGTTAGTTCCCCTCCACCAGCAGCTGAAGAACTACCTGCATTGTGCCGTTCTTCTACTCCTGGACCCGCGTGAGCTACTAGGTAGACCTTAACCAAAAAGTGTTTTATAAGATCTCGTCTTTTGGTATAAAAAATGCTCATCTCCATATTAAACTCTTACTAAATTACAGGTGAGTCAAATCAAGACAAAAAGAAAGTTGGGACGAAATCTTAGTGTAAGCCCAAAAATTGGCGACGGCATGTACCTTTATATTAGAGAACAAAAATCACGATATTGTAAAACATATTTCTCTAACTTGACAGAAATAACGCAAAACATAAACAGGGACAGTATTTCAGCTTAAAATATTTGTTGTAAAACTCTCACCATTTCATTTCTTCTCCTAGCTTTACTGAGGATCTGTTCCAGCCACTCCCACTGCTGCCTGCCCCGGTGAGGACCATCAGTCCTGGCAGCTCCTCCCGCCCATAATACGCTGTTTAGCACTACTATCCTCAATTTGCTCTTGGATTGCTCTATTGTATAATAACCACCTGAAAACAAACTAGGGAGTCAAGACGTTGACATTAGACCCAGTTTAGGACTAAGAAAAAAAAATGGTTAATCAATTTTCATTATTATCAGTTTGAAGGTGCCAAGGTTATTTATTTATTTATTTTATTTTATTTTAAAAGACTTCATGCGGTGGGCTTAATGCCTAGGGTATTCTCCTCCAGCCGGACCTTTGGGTGATGCAGAGACAAAAACAATGGTCGATGCAAGAAGCAAGCGTATTTAGGACTCAACAGAAATACATACAAAAGGATAAACTTACATAAAATAAATCCCTATATAAACTTACATGTATATGACATAACAATAAACTTACACAATTATATTACATATACTACATAGACGTTATTTTGATTTCAAGTATTTAACCAGAATTTATTTAAACATCCGACAGATCATTGCACATATAACATATACGTGGATGTCCTCTACCCCATTTCGTGGATATAGGCTTTATAAGACATCAAACATAGAAAGAAAATTTCAGACATAATTCATTGAGGTATCGTGCATAAGACTTAAGAGACTCATCTAAAGACTAAAAAAATATATACATAACATATCATCACGCCTTTTATCCTCAAAGGGGTAGGCAGAGGTGCACATTATACCACTGTACAATGTAACACCCACTTTTCACTATTTATGTTATGAGTCCCATGTAATAGGGGGTGAGCCTATTGCCATATACCGGGCACAGTTCCAGACTCCGTGCTACTACTGCGATTTTTTAAAAAAAATCCAGTAATACTTTGCCCGACCCGGGAATCGAACCCGAGACCCCTTGCTCGGCAGTCGCAATTGCGACCACTCGGCCAAAGAGGCCAACGAGCAGAGCAGTAAAAAAAATATGTAAATTATTAATAGTCTACTTACTAGTTTCAAAAGTCTGTAACGCTTCTGTAGGTAGCCACTGCATCCACATGTCGACCAGCCTCTTAGAAGGTGCCGGGTCATTATGACCCAGCGCAGGGAACACAAACTGACTGCTAAACGTTCTGCTTAATACATCTGTGACGTTTCTCACGGCTTCCAGCTTTATTTCTTCACTTAAATGTTCCATTGAAGAGGAGAGGATGTCTCTAGTGGGAGCAAATGAGAAGTTAATGTATCTAAAGGTTGTCTAAACGATAGATATCAATTCTACGATAGATAGCAATTCTACCTTTTTACAGTTTAGTTTTAAGTTCGACAAAATATTATTATGAAGGTCAAGTGAATACAATAGGGTGGATGCCTAATTTTTATTTTAATGTCAGTTTGGTAGATTATTTTAAGACATTAGACACGTATTTTTTATTTTGTTACTGAAACGAATACTTTCGACTCTATATAATAAATAAACTAAAAATTGCGGGTCTCACGGTACGCCGATCTTGGCGCGGTAATTTGAAATGTCGCGTGACGTCACTTCTATGTAAATTTTATACGTAGAAATGAAGTTTTAGCTCCCACTCCTAAACTTTAATTCGTTTTATCTAAGTATTGTTTGGTTATACCACAAAATATAAAATACATTTTATTCCTATTCGGATCATAAAATATTAAAGGTTCAATGTTACTAGTAGGTAACAAAATGCCATTAGTAATTAATAGAATCATTGTTTTATTACAAAATTTATAAAGCTTCTAAATTACACATATCAAAGATTTACCCAGTCCAAAGCACGAACTCTAATGTATCAGGATGCCTCTCCGCCATGAGGGCGGCGGCGCTTTGTATCAAAGGCCAGGAGCTGTCACACGTGTGATCCCGGTGCCTGCCATTCCGATGACTGTGTTCATTGTTCCCGCGATTGTGACGACAACCTGATAGATGAAAAAACAAAAATTGAAATGATTTTTAATAGCAAGAAAGGCTTATTTAAAAAAAACCTTGCTCCACACTACAATTTCCTCCTATGTCGTGGATGCGATTACAAACATACAAATTTACATACACATGACACTCAGACCCAGAACAATAATCTGTGGATCATACAAAGTATTGTTCCGTGCGTGAATCGAACCCACGACGTAGTGCGCGGCAGCCAATTGCCCAGCCATTGCGCGCAGTACAATCAAAATCATAGGTATATATAATGCTGAATAATTTAAAAAAAAGATGTTGTTTTTCCGATTGCGTCATAAGCCTTGTTTTCAATCAATCAAATAAACCAACGTAACACATCAATGATGATACATTGATTAATATCGTTTCTGATTACCGTCATTCATCATAGCAAGGAATAAATAATTCAAAATTATTATACATGAAACAAAAAAAAAAACAACGAGTTTCTGACATTCATCAAAGTTACTCGAATTTACTATCATGTTATATGAATGTTTATGCGTCTATGTCAACGGCCTGAAATAATATAATCAACATAAAACAACTGTATGTTTCATAAAGTACCTCTATGTAGCTCTGGGGAGTTGTGAAACGGATCATAATGAAGATCTGTGATGTGCCAAAAGTACCCTGAAACAAAATTATGGGTTAGTTTTTCTAGGAAAGTTTCTTCAGCATGATAAATGTTGTATATTTTTAGCTCAAAAGTTATTTTTGTGAACTATTTCTGAGTTCTAGTTAAAGTTATATTAATTATTTTATTTCATATTATAATTTTCAAAATGAATGATAAAAGTTTTGTCCATTGTTCTTATAATAGATAAGTTTTACGAAGAGGGAAACTTTATCAAAAAAATGTCTCGTCATGAGAGAAATAGAAAACTGACAAGCCGGACAGATTAGATAGATGCCAAGTGATTGATAGATAAAGTTTTGATATGAACAAGAGAAAGTACCTACATTTAAGTGAAAATAAAGGTTTATTAAGGACGATAGAATTTTAACTGAAATTCTAGCAAAATGAAATTCGTCGTAGTAGAGACAATATTGCCGAAGACGTGTAGTCTTTCATCAGACGGCTACGTACTTATACAGATGTAATAAATAACTACCTAGTTACCAGCTAGAAACTAAAAGTGCTCGCCTTTGTAACTACTGATTATGGGATCCTGGGTTTGATTCCTGGGTCCGGCGTTGTAGATATTGTTCAATTTTTTGAAAATCTATCACTAACAACATGGAATCTAGGATAGTGCCCGGTACTCTCACCCCCTATTTTGTAAGATTTATAACGCTCAAATAAAGTATGTGTGCTCAATTGCTGTAAAGAATCATGAAAACGTTTAACTCAGTACTAGGTGTATGTGTTTATAAAACGGCGTTTTACTGTTGTCAATATAATTATATTTGATTGACGTATTAAAGAACACTAGACGCTGTATGTCCATATTGGTAAATTGAGGTGAATGAACCCTTAGTTTCAAGGATCAAGATCAAACATTAATAATTACTCATTAAGTTCCGCGTTTATTTCTGGTTCTATAGAACTTAATTAGACACATACAAAAGAAGGAATGACCTTGAATTGTATTGATAATGTACACGTGGCTCGTTTTAGCCGGGTGGAGATACAAGATTTGGTGTTCCGGGTGTTCATGGGCGGCGCTGATTGCTTACCATCAGATGATCCGTGTGCTTGTTTACTGGCTTATGCCAGTAGGGCTCATAATACAACAGTAATCTGTCACAGACTGTTAATTAAACGAATAGCAATTACAATTTTTATCCTAACGATGTTGTAATTAATGATGTTTATTAATTTGAAAGCATAATAATTCTTTTATAAACACCGTTTAAAAAAAAACTTCAACCGCCTCAAGTTTAAAAATACCAATTAATTTCAATTATTGAAGTCATAAATCATATTCTTTTTAATAAAAACGAAAACCAATGATATTTAATAAGATAAAAATAACGAAGAAGATTAATTTCAATTAATTTTATGAATGAAGTTAATTGAAATTGACCGACATGACCCTTTCAGTTGAAAATGATCCGAATAAACTCAGACTAAATAGAAATGTGGCTTCAATAAATTCCGTCTCTAAAAAGGACAGTAACGTCGAGTCAAATTTACTTTTCAATTTGAAATGTCTTTCAACATTTGTGTATGTTGCCCACATTTCTCGTTTTTTCACCAGTATTCAATTAAACTGGGTTGACATTACCCACCAAAGTAGGTCGGTACTTATTACATGCATAAAATAGCTAAAAGAAATTTCAATATTATGTAATCTTGAACGAAAAATATTATACGATATTAAGTTTTGAAACTTACGAGGGCAAAAAGTCATAAATGTTTTATTTTTAACTTGTGTAGCGGTTTGGCTACGACAGCGTAGCTCGTAGCCGTAGCAAGCTACGGCGTAGCTACAAAGGCGGCTTATTTGACAGTTCTTGTAAAAAGTAAAAGAGTTTATAAAACTGGTTATATATAAAAGAAGTCAGCATTTGTAGTCTAGTTGTAGAAAATAGTGAATATGAATTGTCAGATATTTAGAAGAAAGGTTATTCCATAAACCAACTTGGTAGCAGACATTAATGAAAATAATATTAATTGAATGAAAGAGTATAAATTCATTTAACATTACATAAGGTTATGTTTTTCTAATACATGGGACAGTGAAGTTTAACAAAAAATATATTGAATATTAAACATTAGTGGTCATTCAGTAAAATAACTAGGTACAAAGATAAAGGAAACTTCCGGCGCACTTTTGGATATTATGGCAGTCCTTTGAGGCCACGGGTGCATAGAGAAAATAGCATAAGAAATTGCGTCATTATTAAATTTATATCATTTTCATTATTCATTACTAAATGTTCAATTATAACTTACCTATTTTAGCGTCAGTGAGGTTCAGCCATAGCAGGCTAGTGATGTACAAGACTAAGTTACTGAGATTCATATTACAGAGTTACATGACGCCGGCCGTCTGTTCTATGTGCTCCCTTTGATTGCCATCCTCCATCACATTGCCTGCGAACAAACATATAAATCTAGTTATCTATATAAATATTTTGAAAAATAAAATTATAGTGTCTGTTTGTAATATAAAAGATTGCCTCGCTGGCTCAGTGGTCCCAAATGCGACTGCCAGGCAAGGGGTCTCGGGTTCGATTCCTGGGTAGGGCAAACTATTACCTGGTTTTTAAAAAAAATCTCATTAAAAACACGGAGTCTGGGATTGTGCCTAGGCTCACCCCCTATTACATGAGACTCATAACATAAATAGTAAAAGTGGGTGTTACATTGTACAGTACCATAATGTACACCACTGCCTACCCCTTCGGGGACAAAAGGCGTGATGTTAATGTAATATTAAAATAACCCCTTTTTACAACATGCATATAAATATACGTACGATACACTACCAAAATAACATTTTTTTATCATTTTTGTCTCTTTGTTTGCCTGTTTGTACTGACTAGTCTCTGGAATAGCTGAACCGATTTTTAAAGACTTTTATTGGCAGATAGCTGATGTATTAAGTAACATAGGCTTCTTTTATTTTGGAAAATTAAAACAAAAAAAAAACGCGGACTAAGTTCCGGGGAATGGCTAGTGTTGGAATAAAAGTACAAGTAAAGACGCTACATAGTATATCTATTGGTACTTTAAAACGTATAAGACGTAGATATAAATTCTTGCTGACTGTCCTATGTTCTATCTTAGATATCCCAATAGTTCAATTTTTAAAACTACGAAATGGAGACACTACAACTCTTGAAAAACACATTAAATACGTATTCTTAGTTTTAAAAAACGTTTAATTATAAAGAGAATGGTTCAAGATGAAGGTTTTAGTTTAATACCAAGCATTTTGGTGTGTGAAGCTGCGGGAAAAAGCTAGTATATTATTATTAGTTACAAGTATTTACAAAGTTTGTTTATTAATATAGTCCAAAGTTGTACAGCGGTCGTTTTTTTATAGAATAAAAGGCAAACGAGCAGACGGATCAACTGATGATAAGCGTTGCGGGTGTCAATGGGCCGAGCTGGCTCGGCCCATTGACACCCGCAACACTAGAGGAGTCATAGGTGCGTTGCCGGCTTTTAAAAAGGAGCTCTTTTCTTGAAGGTTTAAAGGCCGTATCGGTTCGGAAATACCGCCGACGACAGATCATTCCACAGTTTTGCTTTTCACTTAATAGTTACCTACTTTTTGAAAGGTACTTTACAATCTCGTAGACAACCTTCCATCGGAGTTTATTCACGAACTTTCAGTTTTTGACAAAACATCTTATAGACAAATTCATTTATTCGCTTTTGTCCGTTCTGCTTTTGAATTCACATAATACATATATTTAAAGTACATAGCAACCACTCTCAATTATGTTATATTTTCATTGCGATCAAATTCGTAAAATAAGTGCATAGCAACCACTTACTAAATAGACACACACACACACACACACACACACACTTAACCAACTTTCCTATACCTTCTAATAACCATAGAATGATATTCAATCTGTTTGTCAAACCGTGTAACTTGTTATGACCGGGCATTGGAATAGTTTCAAGGACAAAAGTAGTTGCCAGGCTGTGTTAGTATTTGAGCGTACGGCGTGACGCTTTTCGCCTCAAGGAGTCTTCAGACCATTACATATGGGCCACTAGGACTGATGCTGATATGGAGCCACGGAGGACTTACCGGTTGCCGGGGCTCCGGCCCGAAGTACAGTTTTTAGTTAGTAAGAGTATTCTCTCCCTCTTGCCTCACCCAGGCGGTAGAAGTAATTGGATGATTTTCCCTCTCAGAAAAGGCTGTGTTACTATCTGCGTTAACATTTACATCCTCAGTAATAAACGTAATGATAATATTATACTGTACTGATTGGTCGGTTCAAAAGGGTTTCTATATTTTTAGAGTTTATTGTTTTAAATTTACAGTTCTTTAAATCTCTTAGTAGTTTTATAGTGCTTTCATTTATTTTTTATCCTTGATTGATAAACTAGCTTTATTATTATGATGAATCAGCTAGTATGTTAGTACTTATGCCACACGATAGCTATGGTATGTGAAAAAGAGATTATATATTTTCTTTTCTTTTCCTGCTTCCTAATAAAATATATCTCATTTATCATGGACCTGCAATCCGAACATCAAAGGTCAGTCCTCTATTCATCTATTCTTCGTATTTTCTGATAATCGGAAATTCGGTTTGGCTTTCAAAAACATTAACAACAAAAGGTAGAACGCTTAGTCCCACAAAGTAACCATCTAATCGTTTGTACAAGGAAATGTGCACAAACGTTCTTCTTTATCAAAAAACAAAGAAAATAACGCAACAAAGAATACTTAAAGGGAAGAAAAACAAAAAAAAAATATCTTACCTTTTTGTGTAGAGAAACTAAACTATGTGTTTACTAAAGTAACCGCGGTTAAGTCAACAGTGACCGGTCGAGGTTGTTTTGTTTAAACAGCTGGGTACTGTAAGGAAAAGGTACTGAGTTGTGGTTTGTTCAGTTACTTTTTTAGACTATTATTCATTTATAATTGGGCTGTGTTATCAAGTATTTACGTTTCGTAAGAAAGGTATAGTTTTATTCATATTTCTTCATTCAAAGCTAGCCTGATTGTCAAACAAGGCTTCCACTTCAATTCTTTAGTCCAACAAATTTCAACTCACTTTATGTGACTCACTATAAACTGGAGAAAAGCAGGTCTTACGTGTACACTATATTGTATTCCAAAATAGTACTCATAAATTATTAATAGCCTTTCCATCTATATTCCTAAACACATTTCTGCACACATTTATACGCCAGAAATACATAACAATTTTATAACAAGACACAAGTGCTCTTCAAGGGACGCATCTTAACCATCACACCTTACCTTTGCCCTTTATAGCTTCCTATATATATATAGATATTATATGAGGGACTAAGGGTAAGTATGTGCATATAACCTTGCGTGGAAATACATAACATCACGTCAGTTCCCGAGGGTAAGTAGAGGAGTGTTTACGGAAAAGCTACTAGTAAAACTAGTAAAAATCTTTGTTCTGATGTTCAAAGGTCACCAAATCTAATTTTAGTTTGCAAGCTTTGTTCATTGACAATGTGAAAAGTAGAAAAGTCCGATAACAATATATCGAACTGAAAATTAAACCTTTAGTATCACAAAAGCGACTACTAGATTTAATAGGTAAGTTTTTCAATCGTAACACTCTCTGTCGCTATCAATGTGATTACCAACAGCTGTTGTTTTCATTCGAATAATATAATGTCTAAGACATAAAACTAATAAGGGCCGATTTATCAATCATCAGTTAACTCTTAATTGTAGAATAAAATTTACATTGATAGTTTTTAGTATAAATTGCCAAATATTCAAAGTTAACCTCAATTAAAATTTATCTGGCATTGGAAAAATCGGCCCTACGAAATGTTATGGTAGTCTTCCAAACTAACAACTATGTATCGTTAATATTGCGGACAATTCTAAGTTAGCCACAAGCCCACAACCTAACAGGTATATTCACAACTACACACACAGAGGTCCAATTTTAATTAATTTGTGTAAGTGCATTAATTTTACACAGGTCGAGTTTCCTTATGGCGGTGCGTCCATGTCTGGGTATGCCACTTACCCTCTTGGGACCTCAACGAGAATGGAGTTTTACCCTTGCAACTTACATTAGTAGTTGATATTGTTCATGGGTCTTTTACTACAGTTCTCACCTCTATCTTGGGAAGACAAAGACTGTTTTGAAATCAAAAACTCAGGTTGACACTGTTCACAAGTTACATTAACTATAACTAATTAATGCTAAGAATGACTAGACAAAGAAGCAAGACGAAGATATAAGGGTGTGTCCACATCTGATGAATGTGCCACTGTGTGCAGTCATGGCAATGGTTTGGTGCGCCTCTTTAGTGTAACTCATGCAAGTTTCGTATAAATAATAATTTGAAATGATCGCGCACAACTTGCGGGCAGCATACAAAAGGCTCGCGAGCTGCACATTTGCGGCACATTTGCCAGATGTGGACGCATCCTAAGAGTATATAAGAAATTTACTTTTGTACTTCTTCTTTAAATAAAAAAAGTGTTAAACTCTACAGTAATATTTTCTCTTAAATCCTAGGTGCGTTTATAAATGGCACATGGCACCTAAACCCAACAATTTGTGGGTCACACAAAGAGTTGCCTGTGGAAATCAAGCCCGATACACGTCATGAAACTTGGTAATCCACACAAACTAACCCACAAAGCTTATGTAACCTAAACCTAAAAAATCCTGTTATCTAACATAGAATCTAAGTAATTTTAAACTTCATATACCTATAACATGAAAAAGTATCCTGATTCATTACAGCAACATAAATTCGTGACGTACAGCAATAACTTATCTGTTTCAGATATCTAAACAAGTTTTTTTCGCGTCAACAAGAGTTATGAGTTTAGAAAGTGTTGTGAAACATTTTACGTGAATTGTGTCACATTGTGACAATGTATGGTGATAAATGGCCCGTGTACATGTCAAAGTTTGTTTGTTTTATCATAAGCCTGACTTTTTTGTAAGTGAATGCAATCAATTTGTGATGTGTACATATGCATTGGTAAAAAACGTTACGAGTTCATTTGTATGAAGTTAATGTAATTAAAAGATTTAGCTCAAGAATTTTGATAAACTTTTCATGATAATATCATCATCAACAGCCTATAATTGCCCACTGCTGAGCAAAGCCCCTTCTCACATGGAGAAGGTCTGAGCATTAATTACCACGCTTGCTCATTGCGGGTTGGCGATTTCAAACTTAAAATTATAAGTCCAGGTTTCCTCGCAATGTTTTCCTTCACCGTTTGTCAGTGGTGTCGAGATAATTTTAGAAAGTACATATAACTCTGTAAACGTCATATTGGTACTTGCCGTTGATAGGTTTTGAACCCGC